AAATTTTTAAAAAATCAAAAACACGACCACATTTGTTTGGGTGGTTATAGAAACAGTTGATAATCAAAATCAGTTGAGCAAAAAAAAAAAAAAAAAAAATGTCCTTTCTATCTTTCAATTTTATTTTTCACTTGTATGCTAGTATTTGAAGTTTGGAAAAATTTGTGGTACTATTTCTCAGCATGTTTTATTGTCCCCTTATGGAACTATCAGATATTTTTAGGATGTCTCCAGCTACTTCTTCATCAAGGAGAATGTTTCTATACATTCCATCTTAAAGTGTTACTAATTGTTTTCACACTGTAGACTTACCCGATTTTTAAATCTTTTATATCCAACCATGACCTGGTTTCTTAATCTCAGCACTAATATTTTAGACTGGATAATTCTTTGTTTTGGGGTTCTATGCTGTGCATTATAGCATATTTAGCAATGTCCCTGGCCTCTGCCCTCTAGCTACCAGTAACATCCTCCTTGCTGTTAAGGCCAAAAATGTTCTTAAACTTTGCCATCCTGGAAGGCAGAATCGCCTGCCATTAAGAATCATTGTTATAGGCTGAAGACTCAGTGAATATAGTGTCAAATCCCTTTTCTTACTGCCTCCTTTTACCTTAGGAAATTGTTATCAAAAACAGGCAGTAGTATCTTTAAATAAAGTTGCTACTTTGCTGGTAAATGAGAAAAAAAAAGAAAAAAAAAAAACTCATGTAGTTGTCTTCTGAGGTTTTAATCCAGAGCTCCACATCTGTCATTTCTGGGATCTTAATTACTGTAGCAGGCCCATGATTTCAGTATAGGATTAATGTACCTTCAGCTCATCTTTGGTTTGATCTGCTGTTTTGCTTCCTTTTTGTCTCTGAGCAAAAGAGATTATCTCTCTTTTTCATCTGCTTTCTGTGCAAACCTTCGCCAGAGTGGAAGCTCCCTGAAAGCAGAAACCATGTCTGCTTCCCCAGAACTTAAGGCTTTGCTTACATGTTTGTGGAATAAATTTTTACTTTATGTTTGTAAGTATGATGTTGTTTGCATACACATTTTCATCCTTCATGTTGGCTAACACATACCACATTTGTTGATAGAGAGCGGTTTATATTTGTTGCAGGGTCCCATGGGACCTTGTTTCTGTTGAATTAAGAAGTACTTCCATGAAAACTAGAATCTTCACATTGTTTATTTAAAATTCTTCGTATGTTTTTGTTTGCAAATGAATTTGTATAGAGGTAGGCATCCGTAAATATACATACTTATATTGGGAGGTATATTGAAGCCTTTTTATTTATAGATTTTATATATTTGACTGCAGATGACTAATAGATTGAATCTTTAAAAGTGCCAAACACTCTGGTGCTGTTTACAAACTTCATAAATGGCCCCTTCTACAAGGGACTTATGCTGGGGACCAGTCTTTAAAATATTCCCTTAAATCACAACTTGGTAACAGGAAAATATAACAAGAAAAATTAAAATAATATAATCCAGGGCAGTGCCTGCGGCCAGTGAGTAGGGCGCTGGCCCCATATACCGAGGGTGGCAGGTTCAAACCCGACCCAGCCAAACTGCAACAACAACACCACAAAAAAAAATAACTGGGCATTGTGGGCACCTGTAGTCCCAGCTACTTGGGAGACTGAGGCAAGAGAATCGCTTAAGCCCAAGAGCTGGAGGTTGCTGTGAGTTGTGATGCCATGGCACTCTACCAAGAGTGACAAAGTGAGACTCTTTCTCTAAAAAAGAAAAAATAATCCAATCTAGGAGTCTGGTGAGAATTTTGTAATTCTTTGAGTGAAGATAGAGCTGTACCCTGGAGTTCTTTGAAGTTAAGTGAGTCTAGAGTCATCCCAGAGAAATCCTAGAAGGCTTGAATCCATCCTAAAGGATTCTGAATCCCTTTGGGAAATGTCAATCATGTTTTTCAATGAGAGTTAAAATCCCCAAACATACCTTGGACATTTATGACCTACCTAGTCCCAGAATCATCTCACATACTTAAAGCCAGGTCATCTAGGTTAAGCCAGTCAAGATGGGCAACCTCAATAAGTTAAATAGGTGATTCAATATCATGTTGTTTTTGTTGTTGTTGTTTTTAAGTTTTAGAGCCTCGTAGCCATAAGAGCCATAGATACACCAGCATCTATTCTAAGTCACTCCGTATATGGTCACTATATTCCCATGGGACCTTTGTTCTAAAGGAACAAGGAATGATCTTGGGAGTGGGAAGGATAGAGACAGGTACTTGCAAAATCAGATATTTCTGGAATTCTTTGCCATTCTGTACCTGAAGTCTTTCCTTCCTTTTTTGTAAATTTGGTCTGTTATAAAATGGCTATGTCTAGACATATATCTGTATTTCTTAGGGAAAAAAATGATACCAATTAAATAAGCCTTATCTTTCTAAGAAACTGCCAAATTGTTTTCCAGAGTAGCTGTACTATTTTACAGCTCACCAGCAATGTTGAGTGATCCTGTCTATCTACATGCTCACCAGCATTTGGTGTTGTCACGATTTTTTATCGTAGCCATACTGGTTTGGTGTGTAGTAATATCTTATTTTGTTTGTAATTTGCATTTACTTGTTAATAATGATGTTGAACATTTTATGTGCTTTTTTTTCCATCTGTTTTTCATGGGATTTGGGGTTTTTTTTGTTGTTTGTTTTGTTACTTGAGACAGAGTCTCACTCTGTTGCCCTGGATAGAGTGCCATGGCGTCATCATAGCTCACAGCAACTTCAAACTCTTGGGCTCAAGAGATCCTCTTGCCTCAGCCTCCCAAGTTGCTGGGACTACAGGTGCCTGCCACAACACCCAGGTAGTTTTCTTATTTTCAGTAGAGACGGGGTCTTGCTCTTGCTCAGGCTGGTGGTCTTGAACTCCTGAGCTCAAAAG